ATTGGTTAAAAAAGAAAAAAAAAAGGTGCCCTACTGCCCTTCCAAATTTGGGTCCTAAAGCACATGCGCTAGGCGCTTCAACCTAAGGCCGACCTTTACTGGATGTTTACGTTAAACCAACCAATTTAATTTGAGCAACCAATTTAATCTTGAACTCTCAAATTAAAGTGAGAAATATAAAGCACATAATCATTGATCATGTGCTAAAAGTGTATATGCAAAATACATATTTCACATTTAATTATTTGGTACAAATATGGAGTGCGGATAAAAAATTTCATGTCAACCAACTGGTCATAACTGGATCAACGATCCCACATATATAGACGCCAACAATGAATCAAAAGGCTATTTAGTATACAGTCAAGTAAAGCCTAAGTTTGACTCTTTTATAATAAATTTTTAGCTGATAATACATGGGTAGGTCTACCCTATCCCCCACAGAAATAGTGAACTTTTGAAAAATAAAAAAGTGGCTACTGCATGCGATATTTTACCCTTCTCATTCAAAATTATTTATTGATCACTTTCGCTTTATAAATTATTTGATCAGCTACAAATTTAGTATAAAAAATTAAGGAAGCCATCTCCCATTTTTCTAGTTGAAGAAGACCTCAGTTTCTACTACACAATATCTTTGATTTTCGGTGTTAATTGTTAATTAAGGTTGCATTGGGCACATTGACTTACGATTCTAATGGCTTAATAGGTATGTAAAAGAATATAAAAATATGGAAAAACTTTACAGAAGTCCACATAAAAAGGCTGCTGCCTGGTGACTGTGATTAGCTAGTATAAAGTCAAGTAAGGCAACTGGGAATTTAAATTATATTTACATTAAAAAGATTAGAGAGTTGGCTGTCTCTCACCACTATATATACTTCTCCATTCTCTCCCATTTAAGTCATCAGTTTTCAACAATTCAGAGTTCCTTTCCTTCTTCCTTAAAACGAACAAAAACAATACCCTCATCTTTTATTAGCAATGGCCTCAGCAGCAGTAGCCAACTATGAAGAAGAGATTGTTCGTCCCGTTGCCGACTTCTCCCCTAGTCTTTGGGGTGATCAGTTCCTTTCATTCTCCATTGACAATCAGGTAAATAATTAACTTCTTTATATAGTTTTTTCTTGCAAGCATGGTTAGTTTTGCTAATAATTCAGCTTTCTTTCTTTCAACTTTCAAATAGATTGCGGAAAAGTATGCTCAAGAGATTGAAGCACTGAAGGAACAAACGAGGAGTATGTTGTTAGCTACTGCAAGAAAATTGGCTGACACATTGAATTTGATAGACACTATTGAACGCCTTGGCATAGCTTACCACTTTGAGAAAGAAATTGATGAGATTTTGGATCAGATTTACAACCAAAACTCAACGTTTGATGATTTGTGCACTTCTGCACTCCAATTTCGATTACTCAGGCAACATGGTTTCAACATCTCTCCTCGTAAGTTCACCATGCATGAACCACATCTTTAATTTAAAGTTGTTAAAATTATTATCCATTTGCAGGAAGGTTAATATTGTGTATTCTTCCTTGAAAACCAGAAATTTTCAGCAAATTCCAAGATGAAAATGGCAAATTCAAGGAGTCTCTAGCTAGTGATGTCTTAGGATTATTGAACTTGTATGAAGCTTCACATGTAAGGACTCATACTGACAACATCTTAGAAGACGCACTTGCTTTCTCCACTATCCATCTTGAATCTGCAGCTCCATATATGAATTCTCCACTTAGGGAGCAAGTGACACACGCCCTTGAGCAATGTTTGCACAAGGGCGTTCCTAGAGTCGAGACCCGATTCTTCATCTCATCAATCTACGAGAAGGAGGAATCAAAGAATGACATGTTACTTCGATTTGCTAAATTAGATTTCAACTTGCTCCAGATGTTGCACAAGCAAGAACTTGCTGAAGTATCAAGGTGCGTGCGATATATAAAAACGACGAACCCTTTTTGATTGATCATATCTCAAGTACTGATGCTAATTCTTTAT